TATGTAATATCAAATTAAAGTATAATGAGTCGCAACGGTAATAACAAGAAAAAATTTTTTCCCGAAAGATTGCTTTACGCTTTCAGTTTGTGGTTTGTGGTTCGTGAAGTTAGCAAACAAGCCAAAAAGCTTTGAAAAAAAAACGTTGTATTTTCTAATTCAAGCTTGATTTTGAAAAATTTTGTGAAAATGTAAGTTTTGAAAATCATTTTTGGCAATTTTTTTAGACAAAATTTGCGGGAGAGTTTTTTGTACTTCTTAAGTCTTGTTTACTCAGTGTTCTCCGAATATTTTGCAAAACGCGATTATTTTTCGGTAGAAAAGTGGAGAAAAAAACTTGGTTTATGATAAAACCATAGCTTTTTGTTCCAAATTTCACAAAAAATGGCGGAAAGTTCTCCAGACAAACTTCAATTATCGGACTTGCATTTCTTTGACATTTTTTTTAAAGATCAGCCAAAGAGATTGTTGTTTTGAGCTCAAATTTAAAATTTTTTTATCTGTGATCTTTTTTTCGTAAAGTTATGGGGGTGTAAAGATTGTCAGTTTGGCCAATTTAGGATGATTAACGCGCGATATAACTCGTGCTATGAACGCGTAAGCGGATTTTAAATCCGTCTTAGAAGTCGTTGCAAGTTGGAATGAGGCATGCTATTTGGTCTATTTTTGACATAGTTCGCTGCAATACATATATATTGCTTTGATACGAGCAGATTTTTAACTAAGCATTTTTGATGGAACTCATCAAATTTTTCAGATTATAACACCCCGTCTGAAAAACTTTCTTGTTTTGGGCTCAAGGGTAGAAAATAATTAAATCGCGATCATTTTGCACAAAATTTTGATGGTTTGTTTTCGGGAATACTTTGACGACTAATTCAAATGGGGATAACTAACGCGCGATTGATTTCGTTACATTTAAGCTTAAGAGGCAAGTTAAGTCTTTCCAAATTGAACTGAGACTAGCCATTTGCTCTTATTGGACGTTTTTACATCCACATAAATTACTTGTAATATGCATAGCTGTTATGGGGATGAAATTTGTAAACTGAAATAAAAATACAAATTTTCTCTGTATTTTTTAAACATTTTATAAGAAATTTCTTAAGCAAAAAGCTTTTGATCGAAAATAGAGGGTGGTTGGAACCTTCAGAATTTTGCACCGATATACGAATTAGCTTGTTCGGAACTTTTTTATGACGTTTACTTTACAAACGTTGGATTTGACAATAATATATAAAATGTATTGAATAAATTTTGAACTCACGATAGTCAAACTTTTGATATAATAAAAAAACGAGATCAGAAGTTCCAAAGTTGTTTACTCATTGGTTGAGACTGCTAAATAGTTATTCTGATGCAATCACAGAAGGTTTGTCAAATGCCTTTTAGCTTGCTTGTTTGACAACCGGTCATGTTGTACTATTTTTCGCATTTTTTATTCACAGATTATTTCGAGCAAAACATTTTCTGGTTCTTCGATGCCATTTTTGTCGGCGCCTAGGAACATTGTTGCAGCCATATTTTAACTAGCGTGTGTAGACCAGTGGTTTCAAGTGTAGTAAAACTCGTCTTGATGCATTTTATCCCCATAATAGGGGATCTCATACTCAATATGGGTATCGCAAAGCAAATATCTCAAAGCAATTTTTTTTGAAGAAAAAAACGAAAATCTCATCATAAAGTATCAGAATACAGTGTGTTTTGGCTCTTTGTCGATTGGAGGAAAAGCTATTATGCCACGTGGAAGAAAATTTTAAAAAATCATAATTGAATCTTCTTACAACTCAATCACTTGAAGTCAAAAGTCTGATCGAATCAAACAAAAACTATTAAATAGTGAGCGGCTGTACATTTTAATTTTAGGCTACCAAGACACTATGTTATCCGCTGACAATGCCAATTTTGATAACATATTTTTAGCTCGGTTATTCGGATTCTTTCTTTAAATGTTTTAGACTGTTAGCGAAAACAAAAAAAGTCTGGATTCTACAAAATCTGGAGAAAAAGTTGTAGTTTAGAGACAACAAGATTGCTCGTATAAAGGCGATGCCCTGAATGTTCGAATTCTTTCTAACGTGTATTGAAAAGTGTTTGATTTGAAAAAAAAATGACACAGTTTTCAGACTGAATCTTTTTTCTATGTCATCCCACACACAAAATTTGAAGTAAAAAGAAAATTAGTAATCTTGGATTTGCCGCCCAATTGAACCAACTGGCATGCCTCATTGTTCCGACTTTTGTAACGGAATGTTTGTGCTCGGTGGGTTTGTTCAGACAAATATCGACTTTTTAACTAGCCATTTTTGGCGGAATTTTTTAAATATCATTCAAAAAGTGTTGTTGTCCTGAGCTTAAATTTGAAAAAATGCTTCAGCTTTGACATTTTTCGTAAATTATGTGGGGGTTTAGAGATTGCCATTTTAGTCAATTTGGGACAATTAAAGCGTGATATATTTCGCGCTAATATTGCGTAAGCGGAGATATAATCCGTCTCAGAAATCGTTCCAAATTGGTTGAAAAACCCTTTCCATAATTGATTTGTTACTAGGAGCAAAATCTATCGCTTTGTACTTTATATGGCGTGTCGGGGATAATTTTCACAGAAAATTTTAAATCTTAGAAAAAAAATTTAGTTTTGTTTTATTACATTTAATTTTTTAATATTTTACTCTGCTCCATAGACCTTAAAAGGCTGTTGCAACTTTCAGGGCTTCGCCCTGGTACGATCAATTTTGTTTCAATTTTGAATTGAATGATTTCTCAGCAAGATTGAATTGCGGTTTGCCCATTAAAAACGCGCAATATATCGCGGCTTATTTGCCCTAAATACGCAGATTTCAAACTTTCCTCATTGTTCGGAAAATAGGTGAAATTATGTGAAATGTATATTGAAATTGTTTACAAGACATCAATCAGTTTCCAATGATTTTAAAAATCTCAGAAACGGCTAGTTTAGAAGTCAAAACTAGTTTGGAGGAAAAACTACTCCGAGCACAAACCTCTCGTTACTTTTTCCTAACCACCTAGTATCTCCTCATTTTTTTCGTCACAATCTGCTTTTTCGTAAGCATTTAAATAAAAGGAAGAAGGAACAAAAATTGCGCAATCCAGTCAAGTAAGGTAATTCATTTTAACGTCCAAAACATCACAGACAAATTAATTACAAATAATTGTTTTTTTTTTTAAATTTATGTGTGCTTAATTTCTCATTTAATTCCATAAAAATAAACATGAAAATCCGTTCTAGTTGAAATCAGACCAAAAAGCAGTGTTTCGTGCTTGGTTACGATGGGAGATCGGCCTATTAATACTATGCAATGATTACTTAAGCGCTTACAGTAAAGATTTTGATAAGAGCCTTGAGCTTAATAACGTTCGTTTTTGTTTAAGGTTGCGGCGATTAGCTAGCGTTATCATTGGGAAAATAGAATTTTTTGGTGTAGTAATTTCTTTAACAGAATCACTTAATTCAATTGGTATCTTAGTTCATAATGAACCCAAAATTATGAGAGTCTCAGGTACACTTAAATGAAGAAACGAATACACCTGGGACAGATTAAGCTTCTGCAAATTTTTCTGCCATTAGATCAGCTACTTTTTGTGAACAAAAACGTGTTTGTGTATGTGCGTGTTTTATTGGGGAAGCATTTTTTTAGATGAAGGTTTTCTTATCTCAAGCTCTTAGATTTTTGTTAAAAGTAACGCTTTTTTAGTTTTCTTTTGCTAGTACCGCATCATATTGTCCTGGCACGTTTTTTAAAACTTTTTCCATCGCCATTTGAGACAAACTGTCATATTTTTGATAAAATATTCAAGTTTTTTTCGATTTTTTCAAACCTTGCGATGAGCAAGAGTATTGCAATCGGGTTCTAGACTTTTTCCATGAAGAACTTTGTTTGTAGAATTGTCAAAATTAGAAATGTTAATTTATGTTAAATTCAAAATAAAGTCAAATTTCTTTGCGTCTTCTGCACACTTGGTCTGGAGTAACTAATACGCTTGGGATGGCAAAGGTTCTTGGTTTGAAGCTTACGAGAACCGGTTTTTCTTAGGAATTAAGGAAATTTTCTTTTCAAAATAAGATAGACCTTTTATCTGTCTGATTATGTTTTGTCGGCTTTGATGCCTCATCTAAATGTTTTTTTTTGCTGCGCGTAAATTTTTGTTGTTGTTCTTGTTGTTGTTGTTGTTGTTGTTGTTGTTGTTGTTGTTGTTGTTGTTGTTGTTGTTGTTGTTGTTGCTGCTGCTGTTCGTGTTTCGATTTACTCGTGCAATTTGTTTTTTTTTTTTACTTTCTTTTTTGTTTTATTTTTTGCATAAAAATTTTATTCGGCCGAAATGCTTATATTCTGCTTATATTTGATTGGGTTAAAGACTTAGTTTTGGGTCGATTCAATGTGAACATAACTGTTATGCATCCTTCTGAACCGCACACAAATAGTTCAAATTTTTTGATGACAAACACTTCGTTTTCAGTTCTACGGGAACATCTTAAGTTTTGAACTTTGATTAAACGCCATCGATTTTGCTTCCGGATTGTGTTTTCCGCAAACAGAACATCATTCCAGATAACATTTTAAAGGTTTTTGATATGTGGTTTTTCGAAAGTTTCCAATTTTTTTTTAAATTTTAATGACCGTCCTTCCGTTTCCTGTCTGCTAGTTTGCAACGCTTTTTTCATGTGGTACCGGAAGTGGTGAAAAGCTCTTCCTCGCCTCTGTGTAAAGTCATCAAAAACTAAATTAATGGATGTTTTAGGACTCTCGCAAACTCAAATTGGAATTGTGGTTGGCTCGTTAGACATAGCTGATCTCGCTATCTCCTTCTTTGTTGCCAGTTTTGTGTCATCGAACAATATCAAATTTTTATTCTCAACTGGAATTTTATGGTCGTCATTTTCAGTTGGAGCTTTTGGACTTCTCGGAGACTCACCCGATGGAACAGTTTATTTTATGTCGTGCCTCGCCACTCGTATTTTTAACGGCTTGGGTGCAGCTATGCTTTACGGGACGGCATCGCCAATTGCAATGATGACATTTCCTGAGCGAATTGGAGTCATCACTGCGATTACGCAGTCGTCTCTTGGTCTCGGATTGTGCATTGGGCCTCCCATTGGAAGTGTTTTGATACCCTTGGGAGGATATAAAACACCTTTTATAGCAGTAGCTCTTGTAGAGTTTTTAGTTTACTTAGCCAGTATTGCAATATTACCCTCTCGAGGTTCCGAACAAAACAAATCGAAGTTTCGGGCTTCTAGTTACATTAAATTTATTTTCAAGTTTTCGACAATGAGTGTCGTGATTCCAGGAGCTGCCATAACATGCATCTCGGGTGTCCGAGATACTGCGTATTCATTGTACTTCACAGATGTTCTTGGAATCGACTCTGAAACTGTTGGTTACCTTTTCATAGCAAATTCTGTAGCCTTTCTATTGACTTGTCCATTGGTGGGGTTGGTTGTAGAGCTAGGATTTGGTCCTTTTCTAATAGTTTTCTGTCAACTAACAGTTCCGTTAAACGCACTTGGCTTCTTTTTGCCTAAATATTTCCCAAAACTGCAATCAATTCCGTGGTCATTAACACTGCTATTCTTGAATGGCTTCTTTGCAGCTTCAATGATGAACCCTATCTATTTAATTCTGGAAAAAGTGGCACTCAAAGAAGGTTTGCGTGATCGAAATCAAATCAAAACAATAGTAGCTTCTACTTTTAATTTGATATACTGCGTTGGACTCACAATTGGGTCGTTTTTGATTGGTGGCTATCTGAACGACCAGGTCGGATTTTATTACATGAGTCTGTCGTACACTGGACTTCTGACTATCACAGCCATTTGGCATTTAGCTTTTTTGTATCAAAATAACTTCATTAGAAGACTCTTTTATGATACACATTTCGAGTCTGATGATATAGAGTTTGAAGATAAAAGCGAGAAAGATGATGAAAAAGAAGAAAATAGTTTGATCTCGAGAAGCAACATGACCGATTTGATTTTGTTAAGTTTAACAAGATCGGAGTACTTGCAACGATAAACTAATTTTAAATCATTTTGTTTACCCGTAAGATAATGATCAACTTTATTAACACAAAAAAAATCTTTTTTGATTTTTTCCCCATTTTTTTAGACTTGTGAAAAAATATGAATGCATGCCCGCTTAATGCGATAAATCGCAACTAAAGATAACTCGCAATAAAAGACAACTTGCATTTTAAGGCAACGTTGAAGTCTCATTTGTACCAAGATTAATTTGTACCAAAATGAAAAATCGGTCCCATTCGTACCAAAATTTTTCAACTCAATTTCTGATTAGTTGAGTTGTGAGCCAACGAATTATTAATTCAAAAGTCTACTGCTCATACAGCATAAAGTTAACCAGCAGAATATTGACCCCCGCAGTTGAGCCAACGTGTTATGAGATTGCCAAAAGAGGGCTAGATTCTATAGAGAAATTAGAGCCGGTTAAGATTAACCAAGACCTTAAAATAATCGGCTTAGTAGTCGTTTGGCCAATTGAATCTTTTTGGTAATAACGCGATTGGTTTTTTCTTTTGGTACTAATGGGACTGATTTTTCATTTTGTTACTTAAATAATTATTATACCGAAGCTTATTTCGCCAAAATTACAAAAATGACCAAAAGTTTTGCTATTTATCAAATAATCAAATAAACTTTGAAGGAAATTGCTCCATTTTTGCCTGCCCTATAACTGCCCAAACTCTCAATAAAAACTCAAAACGGTTGAATATTATTTGTTTTGTGTTGTGTATAATTTCACAGTTATTTTATTTAAATAAATTTTGACTTGCGACTTTTAAATTTTGGCTCATATAATGGAGCAGACCCATTTCGACGGTTTTTAAAAGTCCACGGAGCAGTGTTTGCTTCAAAATATTGATAACTTTTTTTTTAATTAAAAAAAGTTTTAAAAAAACCGAGATAAATATTGTTTTTAAATCATCCACCCACACGCCTTTAAGAGAACAAAATGATAGTAGCAATTATGACAGCTAGCCTGCTTCAACCAATTTAGAGCAATTTTAAAGACGGATTTAATCTCAGTATTCGCTTTCGTAGCGCAACATATATTGCGCGTTAGTTGTCCCAAATTGGCCAAATTGGCCAAATTGGAAGCCTTTAAAAGCCGATAACTTATAACTTAACAAAAAATAAACACAGATAAGAAATAGTTTTCAATTTGGGCTCAGGGCAACAAAACCCTCTGAATGATATTAAACAACCCCCCCCATCATTGCCTCTACTAAAGAATTATCACCACTATAAATTTAGTGCTGATTTAAATTATCCGGAATTTTTATTCAAATGAAAATTAAACCAAAACTACGAAATCATTTACAGTCAAATTTATATCAAAAAGAGCCTCTAACTTAGCCCAAAAAATTTGAAAAAGTTAAAACTAGCCAAAACTTTATAAAAGTTAATTAAATCTTGTTTGATAGCTAAAAAAGTCAATTTTTTTTAATGAAAAACCAAAATTTTATCTAAAAAATTTTATATAAAATCGCAGTTTTTTGGAGACAAATTTTAAAAAAAAGTTTGTTGGGCCACGTAAAAAGCTCACTTTGATATACTTTTGACAGTAATTGATTTTTTTCTCTTTGTGCATTTTGATATAGCAATTTCTAATCTTGCAACTGCTGATACTGTTCATCAAGAAATTCATTTAAAATCAAATTATTTAGCGTTAAATTTTCTGGTGACTTGAAAATCAAAACTCTAATCCACCTAATTTGAAAAGTTTTTGAAAACTAACAAATAAAATTTTTGATTGCATTTGAACTATAGTGCAATTTTTGCATGTGTTTTTCGTCCTCAGCGAACATATTCCAGCAGCCTTCGGTGCAATATTTTGCTAAATGCTTGCCAGAAACAAGTAGAAACTATGAAGTTTTGAAATATCAAAAACAGCAAAAAATTGCATCGTAATTTTATAGAATAATATTTGCATCATAGTTGATTAACCTTTTAGAATCTCAAACCTCATTTCTCGCAATCTCGCACATAATTGATTCTCGTGTAAAATTCATACAAAATAATTTACTCTCTAAAAAAACGTGTGGTGTGCTATGCTAACACACGAAAAATCGCGTACATTCACACAATTTATCGGTACAAAAAGAACGCACGATTTTGACATGATTTTCAGCCATTGACATGATTTTTCGTGTAAATTTTGTCGTATGATTTATTTATACAATAATTCGTGTTTTCTTTACGCGAAAAATTGATTTTTTTTCGTTGGAAAATGACGCGATTTATTGTGTAAAATAAACCTTTATATCGTACAATTAACACGATTAATCATATAATTTTTACCAATAAATTTCAAGTTTTCGTGTAAAAGGTACACGACTTATCGTGACGAAAATACGACACAAATCGTGCAAATATACATGTCGCATCTTAAAAAGTTTCACATCTAATAAGGCGATATGAACACACTAACCCCCGAAAAAATGATAATATTTTTTTAATTGCCTAAATTTTTTAAGCATCGAATTGCAGTATTTTCTTTGATAGTTTTTTAATATCAATTATTGGACAGGTTGAACAAAGGAAGCAGCGCATTTTGTTTTGGTGAAATGTAAGCGTTTGAGACTTACTGAGCTGAACCGATGAGTTTCAATCTTGCATATGTAAAGCGACTAATTAAAGCAGATTTTGAACAATTTAGTCCTCAAGTGTTTGCCTTATTTTCTGATACCTGAAGTTTTAAAATTATTTTGAAGCATCAACGAATGAATATAAAAATATTGAAAGTATTAAAATGATAAAAAATGAATTTGAGTGACAGGTTTAAATGAGTAGAGTTTAAAAACTATGACTTCCAATCTCGCTTGCCTTGCGTTTTTTAAGGTTTTAAAATGACACTAAATATCCTTTTAAATTAGATTTTCAAATTTCAGTTTGATGGAAACCCATAATTACGAATCAAGCAACATTGGATTTTCCTACGTTTTTTCGGCACACTGTTATTTTTTTTGCGTGAAATGATTCTATATACTGAAAAATTGTGTGTTTTACCCGATTTTTTGCATCACGCGATAACTTATCGGATCAAAGTACACAATAAATTTTTAGAGTGTAAAATTCTTGTAAATTTTTGAAATTGCTGATAGTCTGTAAGACTGGGATAGTTAACTATTTGCTCTTTGGAAAGAAGTTTTGAAATAAATCTTTCATTTAAGAAACAAAGTGCGCTTCATTTAAGATAATTAATCATCTAATCTTCGCGTTTCGAATCATGGTTTTATCCTGCCGCCAATTCCATTGGTCATTGGTATGATGAAATCAGCATTGGACTGCTTTTTGCATTTTTTGTTTGTTTTTACCATCCAATTGTTTTTTTTTCAATTCACTTTTCTTTCTTGCATGCTCCTCTGGCACACAGGATGAATGCGAGCACCTTCGGCAATTTCAGCTGGGGAAAATTGTACCGATGACGCATATTCTGCAATTTTTTCACCTACAGATTGAAAAATAAAGAATCGAGCTTAATTGAGTTGTTGGTAGGCGCTGAAAAAATGTTTTCAAGAGAGCGATTCGTTTTTGCGCTTTCATTTTGAGTATTTGGATTACATGCTTAAAAAAAAAATGTGCAATGTAGCACAAATGTAATTTTTGGTGTGGGTGTTAGCAGTCACCTGAAATTTTTTAGTATTTTTTCTATGATACTAGTGTTTCAGTCAAATAATTGTTTCAGTCAAAAACTTTCATAAAAATTGTAGTTTAAAGATTTCCCCGCTCTCCACGCTATGCCAAGTTTACTGATGTTTTATGTTTCTATTAACGCAATAATAAGTTAATAACAAGACTGCTCGTATACCAGGAAAAAGCTCTGGGTGTTCCGACTGCCCTCTATTGTCGATCACGAGCTTTTTGGCTAAAAACAGATCTTACCAAAAGTTGAAAAAAGAGAACTAATTGAATATATTTTTTTATTATTATTTTTCAGTTTACCGACCCTACCCCCCCCCAAAAAAAAACACTAACGGATATATATTGAGCGTGGTATTGTGTTAACAGAAGCAAAATGCTTGCTCCCGTTCAACTTGGAAGTAAGTAGTTTGAATTTAAGCTGAATTTAATAGAATTTTAATAGAACGAATTACATTACCCATTAATTATCCTAATTTGATCCATAGTCTCTTAGAATTACAGTCACCTTATAAAGTTAATTCAATTATAGTTTTTCTTTTTAAAATTTTAGCTCCTGACCACAATATCTTTCAGATTGTGTAAGAAGAGTTCGTGCAAAAAAAATGCTTTGTTAAAAAAACGAAATTTGCCTGAAAAAACACAAAGAATAAAAATACTTTTTGTAGCGGGGCGAAGCCCTGAATGAATGTTTTGACAGCCTTTTTAGTTTTATGGAGTAGCGTTTGTTTTAATAAAATTGATTAATTTCAATACATGTGTATATTTCGTTGTTTTTTTTTCGTGAAAATGTTCCGCCCGCACGCTATGTAAACTACAAAGCAAAGTGATCAATTCCGTCTGGAGAAAAAACTACCCCGAGCTCAAACACTCAGTCACTTTAGTCGAAATACGAAACAACTAAGTCACTTGTCCCCATTTAATTTTCACCGAAATATGAGCTGATTAAATATTTGCTTGCCCGTTAATAGCTCGAAACATATCTTGCGTCAATTGTCCCAATTTAGCCTAAATGGCCATTTTGAAGCCACCATGATTTTTGAAAAATTAACGTGGGTTGAAATTGTGGCTAATACGGCTTATTTGGGACAGCTAGCGCCAGAGATATTTTGTGCTATTAACGTGTAGGCGGCTATTTAACCCGCTCATAATCCGTTAAAAATTGAATGAAGGCAAGTTACCGAATTTTAATGAAAATGACGGAAAAGGTTTGCTTGCTCTGGTTTTTAAAGACGGAATTGATCACTTGTACTTTACATAGTATTTGGGCGGATGGTTTTCTCAAAAAAAATCTGAAAAAAAAATTTCATATAAAAATATCATCGATTTTGTTAAAGGAAACGCTAAAAGGCTGTCGGATTATTCACGGTTTTGCCCC